CGGACGGGGTCGTGGGGCCCACCCACCCCCAGCCCGGCCCCGCCGTTTAGGGGACAGAAGGTTGAACCGCGGTGGTGAGAGCGCTGGGATGTGACTGCAATTCTCCGGACAAACCTCTCGGAGGCAAATTCACCCGATAGGGCTGGAGAGACCCTCACATTTAACCAGCGTTTCATGTCTGCCGAGCCTTTTTACACGTGCTCTTGTTTACTCCACATACAAATTATTAGATCTGTTTTAAGATGAGGAAACTGAGGCCCTAAGATGTTCAGCACTTGCCTGAGATTTCCCAGCCAGTGGGTGGCCAGGCTGGTGTCGCGGGTGTTTGGCTGCTTGTAACCAGTCGTTCATACAGCCTTTACACAGGGAAGTGCTCAGATTTTACTCTTAGGTTGAATCTTGAGGTCCTGTCACCAGACTGGCTCTTAAGCAAAAGGCACCTCTGCCCACTGCCACCGCCTGCTCTGGGCTGACAGCGCCCCTCCCAACAGGCCAGAGAGCCTGAACCCTCCTCTAGGTCACTCTCCAGGTTGTCAGAATTCTGAACTCCCCTTCCTGCATAGTCCCAAAGCCTCTTTCAGGATCGGCCTGGGCCCAAGGATGAGTCTTTGTTGGAGCGTGCTTAGTGCTGGGACCTGTGGGCTGAGGCGGGTGCCCTTCCCGGACTTTGGGCCCCTCCTTAGGGCAGGAAGAGGGGTTTCTTGGATTCAGCTCTTCCTTCCCTGTGACCTTCCAGCCTGGCCCTTGGAAAAGTCCAAGAATTCATAGTTCACACCTGGCCATTCAGGTCCTTGTGAAGAGGTATTTGTCAAGGTGGGAGGATCATATTTTAACAGTGTGCTATCTTGATTTATAACAGATACTGGAAGTAATGCTACGCAGGCCTCTATTTGTCTCCTTGCACACAGATGTTAGGTGTGGTTCTGAGTGTGATACAGTAGAAAATGTTTTGTCTTTATAAGCCTGGTGGCTAATCTCAAGTGTTGGATATCAGTTATTACCTGAGACCTTGGGCAAATTCCTTAAGCTCACCTGACTTTAGTTTCCCTAGCTATAAAATGGTGATAATAAAATGTGCCCTACCCACCTTGGAGAACCTTGGAGAGAATCTAGTGACCAACCCCTTCATTTTACATCAGAGAGAGCTGAGCAGAATTAGAACCCTGGTGTCCTGGCTGCCCTTTACCTGGTGCCAGCCTGTCCTCAGGAGTAATAATTAACAGATAATGGATGGAAATATGCTTTTAAAGCTGCAGCACCTCATAAATGCATGACAATTACCCAGACTCAGGGGGTCTGACAACTCCCATCTAGAAGAGACCATCCTCAGGACTGGGTGTTACTGAATCTTGGTGGCCACCAGTACCAGAAAGATGCCACAGTTTGAATCCTTTCTATTAGGGACTCCTCAGTAGCTATTTTTATTACATGCAGATGGTCTCCCACAGAAAGATTTGTACTGGGGCTTTGGGATTCAAAATGAAGTAATAAAATTGCTGATGCAGAACACTTTTAAGGTTTGTCACTTCCTCTCATGAAATCTGTTAGGAATCTTTATTTACCTTACTTAAAAGTTATTATATCTCCTGTACCATAATTATTTACATGTCAGTGTCTTGTCACCCAGTATCATGTGAATTATCAGGCTTATCTTTGGAGCCACCACTGTGCCTCATAACATATAATGCAGTGCCTACACAGGAGGCCCTCAATAAGTAGTTATTGACTATATGAATGGCATTTTCTTCTTTTCCAAACTGTTTGTTGTAAAACATCTTATTAATTTTTGCTGAGACATAACATTTCCTGGATCCTTAGAAAAATACGTACTAATGTTCTTCCTGAGTCATAACGATGCTGGATGATCAAAGGCTGCCCTTATTTGAGTGGAAACACTACATCAGTGCTACCTTGGGGGAAGAGACCAAAGGGTCCAATGGATAAACCCTTTCTCTGAAGAAGATTTAATATTTGCAGATAACATGAAAAGGCATTTCTAGAAAACCCTGAAAGTAAAAGCTGCCAGGTAAGGGCTGCTTAACCTTTCGTACTGAATGTTCCCTAAAAGGGGGTCTTGTCCCTGGCTTTTGCTCACACAGTGGGACTGCTGAGGTTCTGTGACACTGGGGTTGGGCCTTCAGTGGTTTAGCAGGTTTGTTAGAACATGAATCTTTGAAGTCCTCAAGAAAATAAGTACAACCTGTCCACTTCATTTATACAAAGTAACTAGAATTTATTTTATCATTTTCATAGTTTTAGCTAGTTCCACCTATAGGTAAACAAATAATTCTGAAGAAA